GAGAGAGAGAGGCAGAGGCAGAGACACAGGCAGAGGGAGAAGCAGGCTCCATGCAGGGAGCCTGATGTGGGACTCGATTTCGGGTCTCCAGGATCACGCCCTGGGCTGAAAGAGGAGCTAAACCTCTGAGCCACCCAGGCTGCCCAGAAATGATGTTTTGACAGACTGTTTTGAGGACATCAGTTTAATGTATTATTTAAGATTTTACTTTAGGTTCTCTGTATTGTATATAGGAAGAATTATCATATGCATATCTGGGCTATTAAGCTAGTGAATCTATTTTCCTTAAAGTATTTCTTAACGTTAAGAAGGTTATTGGTGGGTTGGGAATGGACTTAGATTCAAATAGAACTGATTATTGTACCCTGTTCACATTTTCCCCCCAGTAGGATTAAACTTTAGCAGTCATCTATTGAATAGTGTTGGTTGAAACAAAATTGGATTGACACCCAAGAAAGAATTAGTGAGGTATTTTGACAAGAACTAGTTCTAAGAATTGAAGTATTTCCCAGTTAAATTCCCAGATTTTAAATTAACTTAAAATTTTCTAGGAGTCTTCAGAAAGATGTTATAGGCTATTTTTCATAGTGGTTACGAGCAAACACACAGTACATAGTGTTTAGTGCCCTGTAACCTGTGGCTAACAGAGGCTAATAACAAACCTCAGAGAAGGACTGGGTGTTTCATTTTTGTAGCTCTTTCCGTCCTGGAATCTAAGTGGTTTGCAAACACTGCCCTACTGAGTATAAACTCAATGAAGTGTAGTCATTTGTGAGGCAGAACATAACTACTATTGTGTGCCAGTGCCCCACACAGATGAGGCAGCCTGTTAGCTACCAACAAAAGGATTTGGCTGCCTGTATGGCAGCTGCGGAGAGTGCATCTCAAAGCTGGACTCTCTGAGACCCTCTGCTGTCTTTTACTGTGCATTTTTTTAGTTGGATATTTGCCAACTTATAACTGATTATACAGACCTCTCTTGCATTAGTGTTTCTTCCTACAAGTCGTACTTTTTCGGCAAAGTGTATATATGGTAAGGACTATGGTACCATCCATATGATTTAACCTATTTCCACATATTATTAAAAGCTAAAGTAGATTGTCATACAAATCAGGGAGAAAAAAACTACCTGGATTATGGGAACTGGGAACCTTTCATTTTGGGCAAGGTTAAGTAGTTGTCTGTGTACTGTGCCTGTTAAATTTCAGAACTAAATCCGTACAAAAATTTACAGTAGTTAGGTATTGTCCTTTAAGACTTCAGTATTCCTTTGAAGATGCTGTCTATCTGGTTAATGGCTCATCATGTTCGTTAGATATGGTGATAAGTAAAATAGATGAAAACAAAGAACTGTATAAAGAAACTTTATGTAATATTTACTAAAAGTTGAGGTTTATGAAGAGAAGGGGTGGGAATCTTTTAGGAATTGCAAGGGGAAAGGGTGAAGTTAAGGCATAGAAAATATAGGGAATTTTTGTTGAAGAATTTGAAGATATAGAAGGATGTATTAAGCTTGAAATCTGATTTCCAAAAGTCACAGCAAAAAGATTTGGGATGAAGGGAAACAGTTGGAGGGTAAATCGGGAAGAGCAAGCATGGGGCAGCATGGGGAAAAGACACAGGAGAAAGATGAATGGCAGATAGGTGATAAAAGTGCGGTGATAAAAGTGCATTGGGGACATGAGACTGGGAGATGGGTTTCGATGGCCACAAGGTTGCCAAGAAAATTACTTCCAGCCGTTCCTAGTAGATTGCTTCAGTTGTTGCCAAGTTGTTACATTTCTGAGGGTGTTATACTTTCTTGTGGCTGAGAAGATTCTGATAGTTTTCTGGAAGCAGTCAGAGGAGGTCCTGATTGATGGATGTGGTGAGAGATTCAGGGCTTTGAGGGTGCTTGTGTTATAGGCTCCTGAAAAGGTGAGTACTCAGAGGTCTGACTTTGGTATATTGAAGCTGGTGTGTAGAGGCCTTGGCGGGGGTCAATGCCTGCTTGTATGAGTTTTGGTAGTTCGTGTCTTTCAAAGAATTGGTCCCTTTCGTCTATGTGATCAAATTTTTGGCCGTAAGAGTTGTTTATATTACTCCCTTGCTATTCTTTTAATGTTTGTGGAATGGCTCCTCATTAATTTGCATTTTCTGTTCCCTCCTCTCTCTCTCTCCCTCTCTTCTCTCTCTCTCTCTCTCTTTTGGTTAACCTGGCTATGGAGGTTTACTATCTTATGGTGTTGTTGATTTTTTCTATTATTTTCTTCTTTTAAATTTACTTGATCTCTGCTTTAGTTTTTATGAGTTTTTTGATCTGCTTTCATTAAGCTTAAATTGCTTTTCCTCAGTTTTTTCAAGTAAAAACTTAGATTATTGATTTTTTTTTCTTTTCTAGTATATACATTCAATGCTATACATTTTCCTCTACCCACTGTTTTTGCTATATCCCACAAGTTTTGATAGGTTGTGTTTTTATTAAGATATTTTAAAACTTATCTTGAAACTTCTTTTTTTTGATCCATGTGTTATTTAGAAGCATGATGTTTAATTACCAAAGGTTTTGGGTTTTTCTGGCTATCTTTCTGTTATTGATTTCTAGCTTAATTCCTTTGTAGTTTAAGAACATGCTTGGTATTTTTTCTAGTTTTATAAATTTGTTAAAGTATGATTTATGGCCCAGAATGTAGTCTGTTTTGGTGAATGTTTCATGTGAGTTACTTATTATCTGCTTGCTTAATGTATCAGTCAGTGAAAAAACGTGCATTGATGTCTCCAACAGTACTAATGGATCTGTGGATTTACAGTTCTATCAGTTTCAGCATTACATATTTTGATACTCTGTTGTTAGATGTATATTCATAAAGGGTTGTTACGCGTTCTTGGAAAATTGACCCCTTTATCATTATGGTGGGTTTTATACTTAATACCTTTCCTTATTCCGAAGTCTGTTTTGTCTGAAATAAATATGAATAGAATATTCCAGTTTTGTTATCAGTAGTGTTAGCATGGTATTTCCCAATCCCTTTACTTTTAATTGTGTCTTTATATTTAAAGTGAATTTCCTGTGGGCAGTGTATAGTTGAATCTTGAATCTTGTTTTTTCGTATCCTCTGGCATCCTGTCCTTTATTTTATTTTATTTTATTTATTTTATTTTATTTTATTTTTATTTTTATTTTATTTTTTTTGCCCTCTGTCCTTTAATTGGTATATTTAGACCATTCACATTTAAAGTGATTATTGATACAGGATGGTTAATTTCTGTCATACTTGTTTTCTATTTCTTGTGCTAGTCTTTTGTTTTCTTTCTTTTAAAATTTTCATTGTTTTATTTGAGCATTTTAACTCTTAGCCTATTAAACACTTTTTTTTTTTTTTTTAGCAATTGCCTTGGAGTTTCCAAATATATATATTTTTAACTAGGTTAAGTCCACCTTCACATGGCACTGTATTGCTTTGCCTATATAGTTCAGATACTTGATAAAAGCATATTCTTAATCCATCCCCCATCCTTTATGACATGGCTGTCATTCATTTCACTCACCCATATGCTGTAATTATTCAATACATTGTTATTATTATGGCTTTAAAAAGTTGTATTTAAAAAAGTTGTATTTTATATAATCTAATAATAAAAAAATGCTTTTATTTTACCTTTACTTACTCCTTTTCTGATACTCTTCCATTCTTTATATAGAAATCAGTTTCTGACCCATATCATTTCTCTCTCCCTGAGGGCCTCTTTTAATGTTTGTTCAGGGTAGGTTTGCTAGCTATGAAGTCCCTCAGGTTTTGTTTATTTTGAGAAAGTCTATTTCTCTCACTTATGAAGCATAATTTTACATATACAATTCTAGATTGGTCCTTTCCTTTTTCAACATTTTAAATATTTCGCTCCTTTCTTATATAGTTTCTCTGTAATTCTTATCCATGTTCCTCTAGAGATAACGTAGTAGTTCCTCTCATCAACCCTTCTCTCACCCCAGGCTTCTTTTAAGATTTTTCTCTTTATTTTTTTTTTAAGATTTTAATTTATTTATTCATGAGAGACACAGAGAGAGGGAGAGAAGCAGAGACACAGGCAGAGGGAGAAGCAGGCAAGGAGTCCGATATGGGATTCAATCCTGGGACTCCGGGATCACGCCCTGGGCCGAAGGCAGGCAGTAAACTGCTGAGCTACCGAGGGATCCCAGTTTATTTGTTTTAAGAGAGAGCGAGAACATGTGTGAGTGAGAGGCTGTGGGGGAGGGTTGGCAAGCAGAGGGAGAGGAAGAGAGAATCTTAAGCAGGCTCCATGCCGATCTCATGACCCTGAGATCATGATCTGAACCAAAATCAAGAGTTAGACACCTAACCGACTGAGCGACCAAGGTGCCCCTCGTAGTGTTTTGTGTTAGTTTGAATATATGGTGTGCCTACATTAATTTTTTTGGCATTTGTCCTATTTGTTGTCTTCTGAGATTTCTAGATCTGTGGTTTAGTGTCTTTAATTGATTTGTGGAAATTTCTGGGCTATTGTTACTTCAAATATTTAAGTTCCATTCTCTTTTCTCCTTCTGGTAGTACAGTTACATGTATGATATACCATTCAGAATTGTCACATAGTTTTTTTGATGTTCTGTTTTATTCATTCTTTTTCTCTTTGCATTTCAGTTTTGGAAATTTCTGTTACCTTAAAGCTTACAAATTCTTTCCTAGGCTGTGTCTAGTCTACTGATGAGCCCATCAATGGCATTCTTCATTTCTATTGTAGTAGTTTTGATATCTAGCATTTCCTTTTTATTATTCTTAGTGTGTCCATCTCTTTGTGTACATTATCCATCAGTTCTTGTATTTTGTCTACCTTTTCCATTGGAACTTTTTAAGTCATTAAATTTTTATTTCCTTCTGCTGCCAATCACTGTAGTTCCTCTAAAGTCAGAATCATAATCTTCAAAATAGCCCTGAGGACAAATGTATATTTGAAAGACATTTCTTCTTTTCTACTTGACCAGTCCTGGATAGAAGCAGCTAAATCTTGTATCTCTTCAGGAAAACATAGCACTATTACATGCTATGGAGAACTCTAATATTTGGTCACAGAGTTAAGAGCCCTTGGTTTTAGTTCCACAAAGCCCTCTTTGAAATGACCTAGCCATTGGAACCTTTTTGAAAATATTTATCATAGTTGTTTTATAGTCCTGATCTGATCATTCCAAAATCCATATCATATTTGAGTCTGGTTCTAATGCTTTTTCCTTCAAACTGCCTTTTAGTGTGTCTTCTAATTTTTTCTTGAAAGTGAGATATGATGTATAGAGTAATAAGAACTCAGGTAAATAGGCCTTTAGTGTGAGGTTTTATGTTAATTGGCCAGGAGTTGGTCTGAATGTTTGCTGAGGCTCTAGGTGCCAGAGACATCCAGTTCCTCTAATATCCTTGTTTTTTTCTCCCCTTTCTCAAAGAACTCTTCCTTTGAAGTTTGTGTTTTGCAGCTCTTTCAAGTGTAATATACTACTAATACCATTGGTATTATGGTAAAGTATGGAGGCAGGGAAGCATTCTATACTCTTATGATTAAGTCACAGTGTTATAGTGGACCTGTGTTCCTTGGCTGTGACTGTCACAGGTATTTATTAGCTCTTCCCACTTGGGTGAGACAGGATGGCTAGAAGGGCCTGGAGATGGGAACCAGTCCTCTCCCTGTGTGAAATAGGACACCGACTAAGCATTTTTCCTGGACAGTATGCCTTTTTTAATGGATAGTACTCTGGGTGTATTTTAAAATGGTTCATTTCTCCCTCGCCATGTCAGAGCCATGTGAGCAGTCTTTCTTGATGCTTTACCAAGAGGATCTGATGGGATTTCTGCAGGTAACATCCATGAGTTTATCCCCGTAACAGTGTTGCCTTGCAGTTTTTCATTCTCAAAGTGGATCACACGCAGCCTCCAGCAGTTTATCAAAATTGTTATTTAAATGTTGCCACCCTTTACTGGCCATAGTGGCTTCTGCTTCAGGTAAGTTCATTTTGGCTCTGACTCTTTGGATTCACCCAACTCCCATATTTCAGAGTGGTGATTTATTCTGCAAACTCAGCTCTCTGCTTTGTCCAAGAAAAGTCATTGATTTTTAGTTTGTCTAGGTTTTTTCTTACTGTAAGGACAGACGTGATGGCTTCCAGGCTTTTTACAGGTCAGAGTTGAAACGGAAAATTCTAGAACCTTTTTTGTATTTTAATGCCTTTTTGGTTTTCTCATTTTCCCTTTTCAGATTTTGACCTCATTGGTGTAGGTCAGAACCGATGAAAGATTGTCATGTTAGGAGCAAAGATGGAATCATGTTTTTTTTTATGTTAAGGTGTTATTGAGACTGGAGTATGTGAACAGATGTTTGGGTTGGTGGATAGTTAGATTAATGAGAGGCATTTATTCTTCTCCCTTTCTTATGAGTTCTGGAAGATTCATAAGTATTGCTCTCTGAAAAATATAGGACACATTGATCTAGATCAGGAATTGGCAAACTTTTCCTTAGAGAACCAGATAAAAAATATTTTAGGTTTCACAAGCCATACTGTCTCTGTTGTAGCTACTCAGTTCTGCAGTTAGTTGTAGTATAAAAGCAGCCATTGATGATACTTAAACAAATAAGTATGACTATATTTCAATGCAAGTTTATTTATAGATATGGTCTTTGAGCCAAATTTGACCTGGGGCCATAGTTTACTAACTCCTGTAGTATTTAATTAAAAATATTTTATTTATTAGAGGGAGAGAGAGAGCCTGCTAGTGGTGGGGGAGGGGCAGAGGAAGAGAGTGAAGAAGAAGTGGAATCCCTGCTGAGCAGGGGAGTATGATGTGGGGCTCCATCCCAGGACCCTGGGATAGTGACCTGAGTCAAAGGCAGACACTTCATGGACTGAGCCACCCAGGTGCCCTGATTTTTTTTTTTTTTTTTTTTAAGAAGGCTCCATGCCCAGCATGGAATCCAATGTGGGACTTGAACTCATGACCCTGAGATGCAGACCTGAGCTGAGGTCAAGAGTCAGAGGCTTAATCAACAGAGCCACCTGGGTGCCCCAGTAGTATGTAATTTTTATTCTGTAGTTCTGCTCTAGTACTGATAACAAACGGATGGTGACCACATTTTATTTGCATATTCTATCATATTCACATATTGACCCATGCTGAGGTGAAGATTTTCATATATTGATTTAGAAGAGTTACAAAAATCTTAAGGTTTATTATTATTTTTTATTTTTTTATTTTTTTAAAGCTTTTATTTATTTATTCATGAGAGACATACAGAGAGAGGCAGAGACACTGACAGAGGGAAAAGCAGGCTCCATGCGGGGAGCCCGATATGGGACTCCGTCCTGGGACTAGGATCATGACTTGAGCCAAAGGCAGACGTTCAACCACTGAGCCACAGTGGTGTCCCAGTCTTAAGGTTTAAGAGGTATCCTAGGTCAATGGCTCAACCTATGAGTGTAAAAACTATCTCAAAGTTGCCTTGAAAATGTGATTCTTACTCGAATAATAAGAAATTCCCAGCAATTATGTAGCATTTTTTTTTTAAATAAGTCTGTTTTGGGGTGCTCAAGTGGCTCAGTTGGTTAAGCATCTGCCTTTGGCTCAGGTCAGGATCCCAGGGTCTTGGGATTGAGTCCTGCATCAGGCTCCTTACTCATCAGAGTCTTCTACTCCCTCTCCATTCACCTCTCCCCCCACTCAAGCTTTCTCTTGTTCTCTGTCTCTCAAATAAATAAATAAATAAATAAATAAATAAATAAAATATTTAAAAAAGAATAAGTCTATTTTTATACTTCACATAATCGTGTAGACATGGCAAGTATTATAAAGGTGAATGACAGAAGCATTCCCCAAGATCAGCAGGTGGTAGGGCCAAAACTGCAATTCAATAACAATCTGACTTTCAGGGCAAAGCTCTTTTAACACAATATATTGTATCATTCAAGTCAACTGGACATAGAGTCAGTAGGTTGAAGATTAGTTTTCTTCAAAGGCCAGTTCTGGGGCATTTTTCTTTTTTTTCTTTAAGATTTTATGTACGTATATATGAGAGAGAGAGTGCACGTGTGTGCGCATGGATGCGTGTGTGTACAGGAGAGGCAGAGGGGGAGAAAGAGGAAGAGGGAAAGAATTCCAAGCAGATTCCATGGAACACGGAGCCCAACCCGGGGCTTGATCTTATGACCTGAACTGAAACCAGGAGTCAGATGCCCAGCTGACTGAGCTACCCAGGCACCCCTGTGGCATTATTCTTAATAAGAAAAGTGGACTTTTGCTGAGTATTTCAAATAATTCTATGTTGGGCATTATTTCAAAGCATTTGGGAAAATAGAGAGAGGTGTCTGAGTTATCAAAATGAATCAGTCAAGTGATTTTGCATAAAAATTTTAGAATATTTAAACTGGAAGGGATCTTACAGACCATTTACTTTTAATGTTCTAATTTTAGAGGTGAAACAACCTGAGACCCAGGGAAGCTAAGTGACTTGGGAGCCAGGTGTAATTTAATAAAAGAGCATGGTATTAGAAAGTTATAAGAGTAATATGCTATAACTGGCTTGAGAAAGTCAGTCGTTAAGTTTTTGGAAATTTTTGTGACTCAGTTGAATACATTCATGATTAAAAATTATATATAAACTCATAAAATATGCTAGAAACAAAGATACATACACAAATACATCATTTACTAATTATTTTATCATATATTTTTGTTATTTATGTTTTTGAAATTATTTCTGTCTAGTGTATTTGTATGGTGCAGGTGTAATATGGTGGTGTCCTACCCAGCTCTCCTCAGTAAAGTGACCTCAGTAGCTTGAAAATGGCCCTAGTGGAGTATTTACACCATAAAAATAGGTAAATTCTACAAATCATACTCTGAAATTCCGTACCCCTACCACAACCCCTAGCCAGTTGATTAATATTTACCGGCATATCACTGGTATGTGTGTTCTATACTTGTCTGTTTACGTACCTGCCTTGCTGCAAGACAGTGTCTTGAGGTTTGTAATTTATACCCTTAGGACCCAGCACAATGCTTGGCATATAGTTGGCAGACAAATGCTTATAGAACGAATGAGCGGGCTTTATATTCATTCAGCCCTTGATTCATATCTGGCTTCATCACTTGCCTAGCTGTGTGACCTTGGTTATTATAATGTCTGTTTATTAGTATAATGAGAATAAGAATACCACTGTTGCATGATTGCTGTAAGGCCTAATGAAAAGGTCTAAATATATGTCAAGGTACATAGTAGGTACAAAAATGTGGTTAAAATTTTTGATTATAACCTAAGAAGAAGGAGACATAATGCTATTAGGGTCCAGACTTACACTATATGCAGAACTTTGATTAAGTGTTTGACCACAAACTGGATGAGAATCAAGAATGTGGCACTGTTATTTTTTGTGTATGTACATACTTCTCCTTCCCACACAAAATAATGGGATATATTAAAAGGAATATGATATATAAGAGGCAGGAAGCAATCCCTCTGTTATATTTGGCTTGTTCAGGCTCTTATTACAGTATCATGTCCAGTTTTACATTGCTCATTTTAAAGAGGATGTCAAAAAGCTGTATGTAGTGTGTCCTGGGAAGAACCCAACAACTATGATTAAAGGGATAGAAAATAGGTCCTTTGAGGCAAGTTTAAGGAATTGAGTTTGTTTATTCTGGAAAGGAGACGGTAAAGGAGTTACTTAACTATCTTCAAGTACATGAAGGGTTATTATAAAGAGGATACTCTCATGTTGTTCTCCAAATGCACAGAGGACCAAAAGAGGAAATCGACTTATTTCATTTAAAGAAAATTGTGTTAAACATTAAAATTGACTATCAAGGGATGTCATGGAATCTCCATTTTTGAAAATATTTAAAAAGAGCAGCAGCAGATGGTTATTTATTGAAAGGTTTAAATGTTTGACCTCGTGAAAGTTACAGGCAGGATTGTAGACTGTGAAGCTTTTTTACCTCTATGATACAATTTTCTTGAATTTATTTTAACTTACTATGCATATGCCAAGTACCTTACAAAGATTCTGTAACTCTTTTGTGACAGGGAATTCTCTTGGTATATGATATTACAAATTATCAAAGCTTTGAGAATTTGGAAGACTGGTAT